CATACTTTTACTGCTACTGCTACTGCCGATACTCGTACTTTTACTGCTACTGCTACTCGTACTTTTACTGCTACTGCTGATACTCATACTTTTACTGCTACTGCTGATACTCATACTTTTACTGCTACTGCTGATACTCATACTTTTACTGCTACTGCCGATACTCATACTTTTACTGCTACTGCCGATACTCATACTTTTACTGCTACTGCTGATACTCGTACTTTTACTGCTACTGCTGATACTCATACTTTTACTGCTACTACTTTTACTACTACTGATACTGCTACTACTGATACTACTACGACTACTGTTACTACTATTTTTACTACTACTTTTACTGCTACTACTACTGCTACTCCTGATACTTTTACTAATACTACTGCTACTTCTACTATTGCTACTTTTTACCTTTACTACTGTTACTTTTACTGCTACTTTTACTGCTACTATTACTACTACTACTTTTATTGCTATTTTTACTGCTGCTACTACTACTACTACTGCTACTACTACTACTATTACTACTACTACTACTACTATTGCAACTACTACTGATACCACTACCACTGATACTTTTACTGCTACTGCTACTACTGCTGCTACTACTACTACTACTATTGCAACTGCTACTGCTACTGCTACTTCTGCTACTACTACTGCTACTACTACTATTACTACCACTACTACTGCTGCTAGTACTACTACTACTTGTACTGTTACTACTACTACTGTTGCTATTTTTACTTTTACTACTACTACTATTGCAACTACTACTGATACTACTACCACTACTACTACTACTACTACTACTTTTACTGCTACTGTTACTACTACTACTACTACTACTACTATTGCAACTACTACTGCTACTTCTACTACTACTACTACTACTACTACTACTACTACTACTACTACTTGTACTGTTACTACTACTACTACTACTACTACTACTACTACTACTACTAACTGCTACTGCTACTACTACTACTACTACTACTTGTACTGTTACTACTACTACTGTTGCTATTTTTACTGTTACTATTACTGCTAATTTTACTGCAACAGCTACTACTGATACTTTTACTACTACTACCACTACTACTTTACTGCTACTACTACTATATTGCTCTTACTGCTTCTACTACTACTTTTGCTACTACTACTACTATTACTAATGTTATTCCTGCTACTACTACTACTACTACTACTACTACTACGTTCTGATTTCAAGTCATTTTATTTTGTTGCTGTTATTTCTCCGTGTAATATTTCTTCCTAAATTTAGTTTTTTGGCAGATAAAATAATCAGAAGGAAAGTCTGAAACTTAAGACATACTTTAGTTTTTTTACAGGTATTTATCATAACACTGTAACACGTCCACTTCTCTGTCCACAATATTGATCTAAAACAGCTGGAAAATAGAAACCGGTCCTTTGGGTTCAGGCTCAAATCTGCAGAAACAAGCAGCAGAAGTTTATTTTAGATGTTTTTATTGTTGAAAAAAAAAGAGCGATATGACATTTTTGGTAAGAAGTCAGTACAATACGAGATTAAACTCACTTTATTTGATGACATCCGCTTTTATACCCGTGAATAAAAGCTCCTTAAAGTTGATTTTTTACATGATCCGTCCCTTTAGATGCTGTGATTTTGTTGTCATAATAGTTTTTGTTCCCGGAGCGGCGTGTGAAGTGAGCTGATATCATAACTCTACACAAACCGTGTCTCAGTCCGAGTATCAGGTTCCACTCAGACCGGGCCTCGTTTTTCTGCCCTCTCCTGTTGATACCGTCCACATGGAGTTGACGGCGGCGGCGGCGGCGGCGGCTCTGGCTCCGCTCCAGCTCAGACTCGGGCTCAGAGAAAGTGTGGATTATTTTACCAGCGAAGTTTTTAGAAGTTACACAAAGGAACATTTGACAGAAGCTGGTTTCTTATAACACAATAGAGGGATCAGTGTATCTTAATTACGTGAAATAAAACAACCTGAAGGTAACAGCGTGGGTCCAGTGACAGTTTTGACTTACTGAGCCCCTGAGCAAGACACTTCACACACCTTGTAGATTAGACGTGTCAAACTCAGGCCCAGGGGACAAATTTGGCCCACGATACAATTATATTTATCCCGCGATATATTTGTCCCACAATATACTTATATTTGTCCACGATATACTTATATTTGTCCCACGATATACTTATATTTGTCCCGCGATATACTTATATTTGTCCCACGATATACTTATATTTGTTCCACAATATACTTATATTTGTCCCACGATATACTTATATTTGTCCCACGATATACTTATATTTGTCCCACGATATACTTATATTTGTCCAGCGATATACTTATATTTGTCCCACGATATACTTATATTTGTCCCGCGATATACTTATATTTGTCCCACGATATACTTATATTTGTCCCCCGATATATTTGTTCCACAATATACTTATATTTGTCCCACGATATACTTATATTTGTCCAGCGATATACTTATATTTGTCCACGATATACTTATATTTGTCCCGCGATATACTTATATTTGTCCCACGATATACTTATATTTGTCCCACGATATACTTATATTTGTCCCCGATATATACTTATATTTGTCCACGATATACTTATATTTGTCCCACGATATACTTATATTTGTCCCGATATACTTATATTTTGTCCCACGATATACTTATATTTGTCCCGCGATATACTTATATTTGTCCCACGATATACTTATATTTGTCCTGCGATATACTTATATTTGTCCCCCGATATATTTGTTCCACAATATACTTATATTTGTTTGGTGATATAATTATATTAATTATATTTGTCCCGATATATTTGTTCCACAATATACTTATATTTGTTTGGTGATATAATTATATTTGTCCCGCGAGATCATATCAGATAATCTGTATTCGAGCTGCTCGCCGTCTACAGATCGACTATAGAGACATTATTTATTTAAAATGTTGTTATTATTTTATATTCTGTTTGTTCTGATTTCAGTGTTTAAGCAAAACTATTATTCAACATTTATTTTAATAAGAAAAAGTTTAACATTACAGATCTGGAAAGAAGAGAAAACATGCAGATGTTGTGGAAATTTTTCAATAAATATTTAGTTTGGCCCACGACTCAGTCCCAGTTTTAAATTTTGGCCTCTGTTTAGATTATTATGGGATAATTAGATTATGGGATAATTACCACGTTTACATGAGAGCTTTACTTCTGAATAAATATAATTTAATTCTGAACAAAAATGTATTTTGCTTTAAACAGACCATGTAAACACTTAAGTCCTAATGAACGTGATTATTCAGAATTAAATTTAATTCCAAAGTAAGTGGGTGGTTTATTACAATTTTAAACCTGAATTTATTTATTTCTCGATAGGGCTGGTATCATTCAGAAGATGCAGATACGATACATACCTCGATACACTGAGCTTATGATTCTATACGATTCAATACAATATATATCAAATCGATTCGATACGGTTCAATAAAAAATAAAGTTTAAATCATGTCTGTGATACTAAAAGTCTTTGTTAAATCACTTCTTCTTGTGCAAAGTTCATATGAAACAAACATTTTAATCATCAAAACAGTGAAAATGTCAAATGTGTCGCATAAACGAGTTTCCTTCCTCTGAACAAACAACAAAACTGTAGCTGTAACAAAATAATTTAGTAAAATAAACCAAAAAATACTCTTGGTGATACATCGATACAACAGCCCACGATATCGATATTGTATCATCATATTAAACGATATGATATATTGATATTTCAGTATTTATGCTCACCTCATTTCAAGTAAACATTTATTCTTCTTAAAAATAATGTTGTTCGTTCGGCGCATGTTCGTTGTGTCGTCCTTCGATCCGGCTCCTCCAGTCGTGTCTTGGGACTTTTCCTCCACGTCTCTTTGGATTTGTGAGCAGATGTGGGAGTGGGCTGAGGTACAACAGCCTCACACTCACTTTGTCTTCTTCCTCCTTCTCCGACGCTCTTCCCTTCTCCTCCTCAGCCGACAGAATTCTTGGAGAATTCTCCAGCTGCTGCTTCGCAATCATCATCGGAATCACTGCGGAAACAGTTTAGATCGTGTTTGTGTTTGAGATGACAGAAAAAGCCGGGAGCAGCTGAAGTGTTTGTTTTCTTCCGGTCGACGTAAATACATTTGTGTCTCTGTCCAATCAGAACCTTCCCCACCCCCAGACGCTGAGACACATTAAATAAAGACGATTTAAGGAGTTTTCCATGTAACCCTCAATTCAGAATTTTTATTTCCATGTAAACTCGAAGGAGAATATTTTAATTCCTAACTATTTCATTCAGAACAATGAATTCGGAATTAAAAAACATCATGTAAATGTGATCAAGAACTGGTACCAAAGTGCCACTGTGTCAATATTGCAAGAATGAGCTTCCAGACATATTGTGTTTTTTTCTTGAGTTTTCAGACAATGTCAAAAAAACAAAAACAAAAGCAACCATTTTTGTTTATGCGAGCATTGCGTCGCCATGGTAACTGCTGAACATTCTTTCATAGACATATATGCAGCCCCTCTACTCCAAAAATACAAAAATAACAGTTGGAATAATCTTGTTGGGAAAAAATAACAGTTGATAATCATTTTGTAAAGACTGCAGAGCAAGTTTGTTTTTATTTTAATATTCCAAAGGTGCTTATCTTCAAAACAGACACATAACAGACAATATTTTACCCGACACTAATCTCAGGTTTCTTAATAAGTTGGAGGTTGTCTACTGCCTTTTTTTTTTTTTTTTTTTTTGAGCAGTGCGCTTCACTCACTGTATGAATGTGTGGCAAAGGAACTGTCTTACCACCACCAACAGTGACTGAAGAATGTATGAATGTGCTCACGGAAACACTGTTCTGGTGTTTTAAAGCTTGGTCATTTGATTTGTCAGTTCTGCGTTCTCACCTCGCCCCTCTTGGTTCTCTTCTCTTGTCATTACAGAGCTGCAGAGAGAGGGCAGTATCGAGACCCTCAGCAACAGCTCCGGTTCCACCAGTGGTTCGATCCCGCGGAACTTCGAAGGATATCGCTCGCCACTGCCCACCAACGACAGCCAACCGCTCAGCCTGTTCCCAACCAACTTCCCCTGAAAAAGAACCATCATCCAGGGAGATCCAGAGACGTCCACGCTCTCCTCTGCAAACAAACTTCATCCGGAACTCAGCCTGTTTCCCACTAAGTCCCTTGAACAAAGAACAACCACCCAGGAAGACCCTCCACACTCTTCTCCACCAACAAACGTCAACCAGAACTCCCCTGAACAAAGAACCAACGTCCAGTAAGATCCCGGGACCTTCCCACCCTTTCCTCTGCCCAACAACGTCAACCTGAACTAGGCCTGTTTCCAACCAACTTCCACTGAAAAAGAACCATCTTCTAGAGTGATCCAGGGACCTTCCCGCTCTCCTCTGCTCACCAATGTCAACCTGAAGTAGACCTGTTTTCAACCAACTTCCCCTCAAAAAGAACCACCACCCATGGAGATCCAGGCTCGTCTCTTCCCACCAACCTCAAATAGAACTCAGTCTTTTCCAACTAGCTTCCTCTGAAAAAAGAACCATCATCCAAGGAGATCCAGGGAGATCCACGCTCTCCTCTGCCCACCAACTTCATCCAGAACTCAGCCTGTTTCCTACTAAGATCCCTTGAACAAAGAACCACCACCCAGGAAGTCGTCAGGGCCTTCACACTCTTCTCTGCCGACAAACGTCAACCAGAATTCAGGCTGTTTTCAACAACCTGAACAAAGAACCATTATCCATGGAGATCCAGGAACCTCCATCCTCTCCTTTGCCGAACAACATCATCCTGAACTAGGCCTTTTTCCAACCAATTTCCACTGAAAAAGAACCATCATCTAAGGATCTCCAGACTCTTCTCTGCCCACAAATGTCCACCAAAACTAGGCCTGTTTTTAACCAATTTCCCTTTAAAAAAAAAAAAAAAGACAACTATCCACCCATGATCCAGGAGCTCTTACTGTTTTTTTTTTTGCCCCCAACAGCAGACAGAATTTGGCCTGTTTCCAACAAATATCCCCTGAGAAAGAACCACCATCCAGGGAGAGCTCCAGTTACCTCCATGCTCGTCTCTGCCCATGAATGGCAACCAAAACTCAGCCTGATCACAACAAATTATCCCTTAAAAACAACCACTAACCATCCGTGATACGGGGACTTCCAAACTGTCTCGTGCCCACCAGGGTCAACCAGAATTTGGCCTGTTACCAACGAACTCCCTGAGAAGCCATCCACATATCGTTTGGGGACTGTTACTAAATTCCAAAGGCCACACACATCATCCAAAACTATTTCAAACCAACTTCCCCTGAGACAGAATCACCATCCAGGGAGATGGTCTGTCCACCAACATCAACCAGAAATCAACCAACTTCTCTTGAGAATGAAAAAACATAGATTTTTTTAGGTACATATACAGGTTTCCAGTGCCCACCAATGGCAACCGAAACTCAACCTGTTCCCCTGAAAAAGAACCTTCATTCAAAGACCTCCATGCTCTGCTCTACCCACCAACGTCAATAAGAACTTGGACTGTTGCCTGCTAACTTCCCCTGAGACCTATTTCCAACTTCAGCTGAAGGACCTCCACATTTTCTTCCCACCAATGGCAACGAAAACTTACGCTGTTGTCCTGAAAACGATCCTTCATCCATGGACCTCCACGCTCTACTCTGTCCACCAACGTCAACAAGAACTTGGACTGTTGCCTAGTAACTTCCCCTAAGACAGAAACATCGTCCACTTTTTTTCCGCCTTTGCATTTTTCCAACTTCTGCTGACCAAGAATCACCATCTAGCGAGAATCAAGGTCCTCCACACTCTCTTCTCACCAATGTCAACGAAAACTCAGCTGTTCCCAACCAGCTTGTCCTGAAGAAGAACCTTCATCCAAAGACCTTCACGCTCTGCTCTGCCCACCAACGTCAACAAGAACTTGGACTGTTACCTGCTAACTTCCCCTGAGACAGAACCATCGTCCACCTTTTCTCCACCTTTGCCTATTTCCTCAGCGAGCTCCAAGGACCTCCACATTCTCAACCAAAGCTCAGCCACATCACAAACATTTCCCCTGAAAAAGAACCACCATCCAGTCATGATCCAGGGATCTCCACGCTCACCTCTGTCCGCCAACCACAACCACAAGTCCAGCCTCTCCCCAACCCCAGCTTCCTAGGACCCCAAAATGAATCACAATCGAAAAGAAATCGCAATTTGACTGGACGCAAAGACTCCAAATTTTTGATGTACCATAATTTCTTTCCCAAACAACAAAATCTCCTGTTTTATTCTGCATAAAAAACAGCTGACCCCGTAGTTTAGATCTGTACAAACGTGATTCTTGTATTAGTTTGTCAGTTCAGATTTCAGTCTTTTTGTCAATTCTTCTGGACGTTGAACACAATCCTTCATTTAGTCCATTAACTTCTCCTGAAAAAGAGGAACCATCCAGGTCAAAATCAGTCCCAATCAGTCCCCAGTTAAGGTCTATCATGATTAACAGAGCTTCAGACAGAGCAGTGACTCCAGTTAGTTGAAGAAATCAGCCGCAAGTATCAAGTTAGAAATTTATACATTTTATTTCCCAAAACCAATATTTGTGCCTCTAAAATAGTCACTGCTGTCTGAATTGCTGATTTGGCCTTTTTATGCTCCAAACCTGTACAATGAATTACAGTCGATCTTTTTTTTGTTTTTTTTTACCATTTTGAAAGTTTTATCATTCCAAAGTAACACAGCATCCCAACACATTCTAATGGGGTTCAGTTTTCTTCCATTTGAGATTTTTAATACCAACGTGAAGTCGCCCCCATCAAAGGCAAACCTACACAAAAACAAAAAATCGTCAGTCGTTTTTGCTGTTTTATTTTTGGAGATATTAATGATACTGTTATAGGTCAAATTGGGGTCAGCAGCCTCCAGGAAGACTCAAAATGCTCTAAAACGACACAAAATGGTGTCAATTGTTTGTGCTTTTTTTGTGCTGCAAAATTTTTTATTTGTGTGATTCTGGTTCTTTAGATATTGACAGTTTTATTTTTGGCCGATGACGCTGTCCAGCCCCTTCAAAATGTTAAAAAGCCTCAAATCAGGCAGAAAAATCATAGAAAACATTTGTTTTTCATTTGTGTGAGTATATTTCGAAAATGTGTTTATTCCATTATTATTTTTGCCGTCTCTATCAGTCTTTAGTAACTTGCTTTTGATTAATATTTTTATATAATAATCCAGACTTTTCCATCATCATTTATCTTCATTGTTTTGTGGAGTTTTGCTAAAGTTGCTGCCGTCAGCTGAGCAGAAATTACATTATATAATTTCTGCAAAAATAACAATTAATAATTTTAGAAATATACTCACACTAATGAAAATTGTCACAAAACAGCGCAAACGAAATATAAATGTTTCACATAATTGTCTGCCTGTTTTGAGGCTCTTTAACATTTTGAGGGTCTTGATGACGTCGTCGACCAAAATAAAACTGCAAATATCTTAAGGACCAGAATCACACAAACCAAACTTTTTGCAGCACAAAGGAAACACAAATGACTGACACCTTTTTGTGTCGTTTTAGAGCATTTTGAATCTTCCTGGGGGCTGTTTGACTCTAATTTGACCTATAAAAGAATCGTTAATATCTCAAAAACTAAGGCAGAACAAATGAAACTTCTTGCAGCACAAACAGAGCACAAACGACTGACATAGTTTTTGTGTAGTTGTGCGTTTGATGGCGTCCAACTTGATTAATTTCGTCTTTAATTTGCCTCTGAACAAACCAAATTTGCCCCAAAATATGTCATTATAATTTCTAATAATAATATTTGTTGTATTTTCCCTTGAATGTGCCTAAGTGATTCCAGTCAGTAACATGTAGCAGACCCTTTTTAACGCCCTGATCCCAATTTTAATTCGATTTTCATCATCGTTTTTCACAAAATTAAATATTGTAGAAGTCTTAAGATGCTTTTTGTGCTATATTAAAGAGGGGGTATGATGCGAAATCAACTTTTTGGAGCTTTCTCCCGTGTTATAATGTTGTTTTTCGATGTTTTAAGAGGTTTTAGAGTCGGCCGTGCATGTTTGAGTCATTTAGCGATCTCTCCTGGGCCCTATTGAAACCCTGTACGAGGCTCCGCCCACAAAACTACCCAACAACTCTCCGTAAATGTACAAAAACGCGATACAAAACTGCGCACAACAACAAACGGACAAACCCGATGAGATGTGGAGTAGTTTCTGATTGTGTTGTGATAGCGCTCTGAAGGGGTAGTGACTTAGCGCCGAGAGCAAAGTAGTATTTTGGAATAAAATGAAAGGTAAAATAGTCAAATACCCCCTCTTTAAAGTCTTATATCGTTCCTTATGCCCAAAGCTTCATCATGCAAAGGTTTATGCTCTGATTTTTAAAAGATTGTTCTTCTTAGTCGGTTGTTTTAACTCTAAATAATTGTAATAAACTGCGTATGATCTTCTATTTTGTATTATTGACCAAATGAAATGCTGTTTAGTCTCAAATCTCTACTGAAAACCGTGTGTCTCCAAAGCTTTGCCCTTTAGAACTGGATAATCATGAACCTGCTTGTTTCATTTGAGAATCTAGAATCTGGAGTTGTGTGTCCGTGTTCTTAAACCGAGTCTAAAGATATGTTGTTGTTTTAAGCCTTCAAATAAAGTTCATTGCAAAAATAAAAGTTTAAAATGTGTGATTTGTTGTTATTAAATGTGTTAGCAGTGATATAGTTTTAGTTTTTTGTTCTTTTAAGCAAGAACATTTCGAAGCAGACGAGCAGGTGATGGAGTCTTCAGCCGATACTGTGGTAAATCTGTGTATCGTTCGTTCATTTGTTTTTCAATATAAAACCAAAAATAAGAAAATGAAAAAGCAACAGTTTTCTTCGTTATTTATCTCCAAAACCAAAATGAAAAAAACAGATAATGATTAATTTTTTTCAGACTTTAACTTTAACTTTAAAACGGATAACGACCGTTTCCTGTTAACGTGACTTTCGTGACTGTGATGTCGGACTTCTGCACCACATACGGACCGAACCAGGACTGATCCAGTTCCGGGACCAGACCGAGACTGAGACCGGGACCAGACCAGGACCAGACTGGAGGCTCAGAGCCCACAGCAGGGCTGGAGCTCGAAGCTGAGGCTCGAACCCCACAGAGGCTCGGAGTCAAAGCTCGGAGTCAAAGGTCTGCTCTGGTCCCGGTCTGGTCTCGGTATTAATCCTGGTCTGGTCCCGGTCTGGTCTCGGTATTAATCCTGGTCTGGTCCCGGTCTGGTCCCGATCTAGTCTTGATATTGGTCCCGGCCTGGTCCCGGTCTCGGTCCGGTCGGTCCCGGTCTCGGTCCCGGTCTCCCGGTCTGGTCCCGGTCTGGTCCCAGTCTGGTCCCGGTTTGGTCCCGGTCTGGTCTCGGTCTCGTCCCGGTCTCGGTCCCGGTCTCCGGTCCCGGTCTCGGTCCCGGTCTCGGTCCGGTCTAGTCCGGTCTGGGTCCGGTCTCGGTCCCGGTTTGGTCCCGGTCTGGTCCCGGTCTCAGTCCCGGTCTCAGTCCCGGTCTCAGTCCCAGTCTGGTCCCGGTCTGGTAATAGTCTCAGTCCTGGTCTCAGTCCCAGTCTGGTCCCGATCTGGTCCCGGTCTGGTCTCGGTCTCGTCCCGGTCTCGGTTCCGGTCTCGGTCCCGGTCTGGTCCCGGTCTGGGTCCCGGTCTCGGTCCCGGTCTCGGTCTCGGTCCCGGTTTGGTCCCGGTCTGGTCCCGGTCTCAGTCCCAGTCTGGTCCCGGTCTGGTAATAGTCTCAGTCCTGGTCTCAGTCCCAGTCTGGTCCCGGTCTGGTAATAGTCTCAGTCCGGTCTCAGTCCCAGTCTGGTCCCGGTCTGGTAATAGTCTCAGTCCTGGTCTCAGTCCCGGTGTGGTCCTGGACCTGGATCAGTCCTGGTTCAGTCCGTACGCGGTGCAAAAGTCCGGCATCGCAGTCACCAAAGTCTCGTAAACAGGAATGTTCTGGAATGTTCCATGGTGCGACATTAAAAACACATTTATTCATTACGGGTGTTTCTGTTGCTCAAAAATACTACAGTTGTCTCTGTGAATAGGGTCGCCTCTCCACAGATCTGACCTGTAACACAGTCTGTAGTTGTTTCCCTGGAGACAGAAAGGTTTAATCTCTACTGTGGAACATTCTAGACAAAACCATAACATCTCCAAGAAAACTCTCCACCACAAAGGTTGAGCAATGCAGTTTTAAGTCAAAGTAAAAAAGTTTGCGTACAAAATAAGTTTGTGTACAAAATACCACTCAAACTAGTTACTATACTAGTTACCAGAAAAGTTGCACAATGCAGCTTTAAGTAAAAGTAAAAAGTTTGCATACAAAATACGAAGAAGTTAAAATAAACCAAGACTGTTCTGTCCACAAACGTTTCAAACAAGCTTCATAAATATAATAAATAAATGTAATAATAAAATACAGAGTCGTGTACTTTACAGAAGTACACAGAGTCGTGTATTTTACAGAAGTACACAGAGTCGTGTATTTTACAGAAGTACACAGAGTCGTGTATTTTACAGAAGTACAGAGTCAGAGTATATTTTACAGAAGTACACAGAGTCGTGTATTTTACAGAAGTACACAGAGTCGTGTGTTTTACAGAAGTACACAGAGTCGTGTACTTTACAGAAGTACCAGACGTGAGTCAGAGTCGACATAAAACATGTTTACCCAGAATGCTTTGCAGCGCTCATTCATAAAGTGCAAATGCAGAGCAGCTGTGAACGAGTGAGAGAGAAAGATGAAGAGAGAGAAGAGGAGAGGAGAGGAGGGGGGGAAGAGAAGGAGAAGAAGAGAGGGAGAGATGAAGGGAGAGGAGAGAAAGGAGGGAGAGAGAAGAGGAGAGGAGAGGGAAAGAGATGGAGGTAGAGAGAGAACGAGAGAGGAGAGAGGGAGCGGAGAATAGAGAAAGAGGACGAGAGGGAGAGATGGAGGGAGAGAGGGAGAGATGGAGGGAGAGAGGGTCTTTATGAAACACCAAGAGGAACAATCCAAATCCAAATGGAGAGAAGTAAAACCAGGTCAAAAAGAATCCCCTGCTAACATGCTAACACAACATGCTAACATGCTAACCCAGTGCGTGTGATCCGGGCTGGTGTAGATCTACAGTCATGTGACCTCCTGCTGCCAGAACTTCAGAAACAGAATTTTATTTTATTTTGATATTTTAGGGGGTGAATCAGGACCGAAGCAGGACTGTGGACTGTGTGGAGCAGCTTCAGTTCAGACTCTGGTTCTGTTTTTTCTGTTTCTTCTGTTTTTATGACGACGTTGACAGAAAAATGTGTCCGATTTCAGTTCCGTCTCTTTTATGTGGCACAGACGCTTCACCTCCCACTGAGAACTTTATTATACAGAGAACACAGGAAC